GTAACTGGCCATGTTTATCACCAGTTTGGGGTCCACATAATCATCCCTATGTGTAAAACCAACCAAAACCAGATGAGGTATTCTGTAGGACTCAGCTTTCATTTTGGGAGACACGGGACTGCAATTTCCACGAGTGCTTTTGTGGGTGCATGGTGTTTCAGTGACCATGGTGTTGGGGTACGAGGGTCATAGATGGTGTTTCCATTAGTTATCATCGAGGCCCTGCCCCCACCAGGATCTCAGAAATGAGGGGAGTAGCAGTGTCCTCAGAGAGGTCACACCTAACGTTCGTCAGGGCAGAGGTGGGGAGAGACTTTTGACCGAGGCTCGATGGCTTGCCGACCAGCCAGTGATGGGTCATGTAACTATTTCCCTGAAGGAATGCATGTCTGACCATGGAAATAGTCAGAGACCCAGAGTCGGCCGTGGTAAGGCTGTGGGCTCTTGCAGCAGACGTGATTGTCCTTACAAATGAAACACACGTGCTTTCTCAGACATGAGATGACTCAGTGACTGTCTACCTGCATTGGTTCCTGAGCCTGTGAGGCTGAGAGCGGCACCTGTGTGGTGGTAAATGTGCCAAGGTGCTGAGGTTGAGGCCTTCAGACTAGGAAGGTCCTCGGGAGGTGCTGAGAGTTTGAAACCCGCTGAGGACGGCTCTAGGTGAATAGATGTACCCACGCTGCCTCTTCTGACTGAGGGGTCGGGAATCCTAGCCAATGATTACTGAGAGGCTCAAGGGTAGGAGACAAGTTCTCAAAGAAGAAGACAATGAAGGGCTTAAAAATGAATCACAGTTTCTTCTTGGGGCACCACCTCTTTGGTCTGATTTATGGGAACAAATCCCCATGTGCTTTGCGTGATCAGCCCCTCTGCCTAAGCTCTAGGATGGAAAACAGTTTGAGACCAATAAACCTCAATTCTTACATTCCATTCGGTTATTTGCTTTGTCATGAATTCTTTCTGCTTCATACACTCCTTTTCCAGTTCTCTCAAATTTGTCACAGCTTCCTGGAGCAGTTCCTGGAGGAAAATGGGGTGAACAAAGTCGATTCAGTTTGGCAGCTCCTCACTGGGCACCAGGGGGACCCTAGCCATCTGAGACTGTGGGAATCATGCTGGATGTTTACCGAGTCCTCACACTGTGTGGGGAACTGACTCAGGGCTGTATGTGCAGGGACATATCTGATGCCCTTGACATCCCTGAGCACTGGTAGGGCTCTGACGTCATTTAGTGCTGCAGAAACTGAGGCTGAGGAAGGAGTTCTCTAACTTGCCCAAGGGGCTACAACTGGGAAGTGGCTGGACTATGAGCCCAACGTCACCTGCTGAGGTCTAGCCCCCCACGCCCATCCTGCCAGGGAGACGTGGCACAGAGCATGATAATCATCTGAGAGAATTCATAGAACAGCGTGCTGACCCGGACGTGGCCAGCGCTCTGGCACACAGTGGCTCACTGGCGGTGTTTGGTGAGTCAGGGAGGAAAGGCCAGGGCACCTGCTGAGCTGTCAGAAGCAGTGCTTGGAGAAGGGATGCTCTGGTACCCTTTCAAGGATGGTCCCGTGAAGCCCATTTGAAACGAGCTAGTGTCCACATCAAGATTTCAGGTTATTTTTCAAAATAGTTTCTTATGTTTTCATGGAAAGCAGGTTGCAGGTGAACCAGATTGCTAGTCGAGGTTCAAACTGAAAGAACAAGGTCCTGTCATCTGTCACCCAGCAGCACACTCACCAAGTGCCCTGTGCTGCCGAGAACGGGCTGTGATGCTTGTTAGCAAAGGGCTGCTGTTGTCCCCATTTACAGATGGGGAAACGCAGACACTAAATAACTGGCTGAGAGTTACCCATTAGGTTCGGTGCAGAGCTAAGATTTCAAACCCAGCAGTCTGAATCCTGAGGCTCAGCACCGTCCCCTGTGCTGTCCTTTACCAGCTACCTGGTGGTTAATGTCCCCTTTCCTCTAATGAGCTGCCCATGGGTTTGAGGGACGCCCAGGACAGTGATACAATGTGGAGAGCGGGAGGTCTGCAGTGAGGCTGAAGTCTGACAGCTGGCAAGCTGACAGGCTCTCAGGCCAGGCTGAGCAGCACAGGGAGCTTGCTGGATAGATCTCTTCTCCACCGTGTGGCTGAAGAGAAAACAGCCAACCACCTTGAAAGTCGCAGAATGAAATGCCATCCTGTTAACAGTTTCTGCTCGCTATGCTTTGTGTCACTTCGGGGAGATTGCTTCCCCACACCCCATGGAAAGCCCCAAGAGAGCTGCTCCCTGAGAGGAGGGAACTACTTCCTCAAGCTCCCCCAAAACCCCAACCTAAGGAAAGCTACTTTTGCTCTAAAAGCTGTGTCCAAACAATAAACAGGGCCACTCTGCCATCAGCACTGAGCGGACCTCCTGCTACCAGCTTTTGTCTCTTTCTTTCTTCGTCTCCCACGCAACCCTCCCAGGTGTGCTTCTGGCTGACGAGCCAGGGGCGTTCGGTTGAGCGAGCTGGTCTCGTTCAATACAAGGCCACCTCGGCCTCGTGGGGAACAAAACAGGATCCCTCCCTGGGGACATTTTCCTCAATGTAGGCAGGGCAGAGAAGGAGTACTACAGCAGGACAGTGTCCTCAGCCCACGCCCCCACAGCCAGGGTCAGCTTCCTCAGGGCCATTTCCACGTCCTTCAACCCCTTCCTGAATCTTGCTCAAAACCACCCCCTCCTCCCTCTTACAGAAATGATCAGAATCTTTCCCTTGACATTCCTTCTATGGTGTCACTGCCAGGAGGCTCTTTTCAGTGTCACCTTCACTCTGCACATGCCAGTCCCCGAGGCCTGGACCACTCTGGGCAGGACTTGGACCTGAGCTGGTACCTGCCTCTCAGGTACGATAAGTCAGCTCAGCTCCCTCGACTGTGCCTTTGCCCTGTGGTGCCCTGGGCCTGGGATGCTCTCACTTCCCTCCACACTTGTGTATACGGTGAGTTTTTGTGTGCCCTTCAGGAGTCACACCCACCCCCCACACCAGGGGTCTCTGGGCTGCCCTCTGATGGTCTGTATCTTCCCTGGTTTGCTGGGGGACACCTGAAAGGTGGTGACTTTGTTTCCTGTGGTGCCTCGAATCTCACACACAGTGTGAGGCAATAGAGTGAGTGGCTGTGAGTTTGGGGACATTGTTCTAGAGCTGGGAGAAGGTCCTGCTGGGTGAGTGGACAGGGATGAGTCTGACTGTCCCATGTGAGGTCACGCGAGGTCAGGATGGACAGTGGGGACTTGACCAGGGAGGACCCACA